GAGGGAGCTCCAGGCTGGGACCGAGGAGTTCGGAGGGCGGGAGGGGGATCAGGGCTGGGGTAGGGGGGTTGAGGCACGGGAGGGGTCAGGGTGCAGGGTCTGGGCAGTGCTTACCTCAAGCAGCTCCTGGAAGCAGCAGCATGTCCCCCCTCCTACTCCTACGCGGAGGTGCAGCCAGGCAGCTCCCTGCAGCTCCGATTGCCCTCAGTTCCCGGCCAATGGGAGCTGTGGGGGTGGTGCTTGGGGCAGGAGCAGCATGCGGAGCCCCCTGGCTGCCCATACGTGTAGGAGCCGGAGGGAGGACATGCCGCTGCTTCCGGGAGCCGCACGGAGTCACGGCACAAGCAGAGTGGGGCAAACCCCGACCCTGTTCCCTGGCTGGAGCGCCGGAGCGGGTGCTCGAGGGCCGGATTAAAACATCAGAAGGGTCAGATGCAGCCCCCGGGCCATAGTTTGCCCACCCCTGGTCTACATGCTTCCACTGGCTTCAATAGTACTGTTGATGGAACCAGTGTCCGAATTTTCCTACTCGGGATTCAGATGAAGTGCAGGGGGCTGCCCATCCCTTACCGCCACTATGAGTACCCGAAGAGGCCATCCACATTGTGGCAATATCCTCCACTCCAACCACAGAGGAGCCACTGGTTCCCTATGCCCTGGGGCCCACCACAGCACCCTCCGAATCTGTCATACTGGCCCCTTTTCTGGACTCTGGCCCCAATACCCACCCTCAGAACTCACCCATTCTGTGAGGGAGACTTTTCCTCTCTCCCTGTCTAGAGCACCCTCAAGTAGACACTCCGAGCCAATCATGGAGGAGGAACCACTGAATCCGGTTCCAGCGGCACAGCTGGAGCAGAACTGTTTTTTGTCATCCTCACCAGATGCTGCAGAGACTTCGTCTTCCCTCTCACCCCAGATGACTTTCAGCAATTCCAAGATCTCCTGCAGAGGGGGGTGGTGAACTTCACATCTCCCTGGAGGAGGTACAAGACACTCAACATCAACTCCTGCACATCCTTCACTCATCAGTACCAGGTTGCTCTGCCAGTTGACAATGCCATCCTCCAACCAGCTCAAACAATTTGACATACTCCCGCCACATGTGCACCTACCCCTAAGGGGGCAGAAAAGAAATACTATGTACCATCTAAGGGGTCTGAGTTTCTTTTTTCACTCCACACCCCAATTCCCTTGTGGTACAGGCTGCGACAGAGCGGTCCAAACAGCAGCTCCCACACTCCACTCCGGCAGATTGGACCTTCCGGGATACAAATCTTCTCCTCAGCTAGCCTCCAGTTCAGGATTTCGAATGATCAAGCATTGCTTGCCATTTACAACTTCCTGAACTACAGCAAACTGGAGGACTTTGTTGAAAAACTACCTCAACCAGATGGGGTCCAGTTCCAGTCAATCTTGGAGGAAGGCATACTGGTGGCAAGGACAGTGCTTCAATCAGCTGTAGACAAGGCAGACACTTCCTCGTGCTCGATGGCTACGAGCATTGTCATGCGGAGGGAATCGTGGCTTCATTCCTCTGGTTTGCCCAGGAGGTACAAAATACCATTGAGGACCTCCCTTTTTGATGAATCCCATCTTTTTAATCAGAAAATGGATGATTCCCTCCACACCCTCAAGGATTCAAGAACCACAGTTTCTTCGCTGGGTATCTACACACCTGCACCCAAGCGTAAATTCTATCACCCACCATCCACACAGCAGTACAGGACTTCCCAGTTTTTCCACCAAAGGCCTCACGAACCACCACACAAGCACCAGAAGACCCAATGATCTCGTTCTCCAGGTCTGCCTTCACAGCCTTCCTCATCACACATGCAACCCTCTCAGAAAAGAGATTTCTGAGAAACCCAAGAGAGCTGTCAACTACCTTGCCTGCTGCTGTACAGCCACCCCACCCCCTTCGGGGGTCTTCTTACCAGCTTGGAGTGCAATAATAATGGACAAGTGGGTGCTAAATGTCATCCATTATGGCTATACGATCAAGTTCATCACACTACCTCATCCATAACCCCCTCCCCTATCCCTCCTCAAGGACCACTCTCACGACAGCATCCTCACCCTAAAGGTAGACTTCTTCCTACAAGGAGGGGAGATAGAGTGGGTTCCTCCGGATTATCAAATAACAGGGTTCTATTCAACTTACTTCCTAATACCAAAAAAAGGGTGCGTGGAAAGCAATTCTGGATCTCTGTTGTCTCAATCACTTCATCCGCAAATCCAAGTTTCGTATGGTCACCTTAGCAGCCATCATTCTGTCGTTGGAAGAAGGCATGTGGTTTACGGCTCTCGATATGCAGAACACCTATTTTCACATAGACATTGATCTGACCCACACATCGTTCCTGAGGTTCACAGTAGGCCCTTAGCATTTTCAATACAAGGTCCTGCCATTTGGACTCACCACTGCTCCCAAGGTCTTCACCAAAGTTTTCACTGTTATGATGACCCACCTCAGGCATTATGGGATCCTTGTATTCACACTGGCTGCTATCAGTGTGATCCAGAGACAAAACCCAGATCTTGACCTCCATGTTGCTCAGACTCTGTTCCTCCCTCGGAGTCAGCATAAATGTTGAACAATCAAATTTGGACCCCACACAGTCCCCGGGCCGCCATCAACTCAGTTACAGCACAAACGTACCTATCAAGGGACAGATTCTAGACTCTGCAAGAACTTGTTACCTGCGGAGCCAACAGTCCTCCTGTCTCAGCCAGGATTTGCCTCTCTCTCCTGGGCCACATGGCCTCAGGCACATACATCACCACCTTCACCTTCGCCGCCTCCAGATGTGGCTTCAGAGAGTTTACTCACCCATGCAACATACCATGAACCTTCTGCTGACAGTTTCCCCCCCAAGGTACTCTCATCCCTCCAGTGATGGATGGACCCACAACAAGTCTGTGTGGGGATCCCTTTTCTCCCATCCTCCCCGGACAGAATGATCATCACTGACTCGTCCCTGGAACGGTGGAGGAGCGCACATGGGAAAGCACTTGACACAGTTGAACATGGACCCCGCGGGAATCCAGGATGCACATCAACATTCTGGAGCTCCCAGCTGTAAGGAAGGCGTTCCAAGCATTTCTCCCTTCCATCTGTTCTCATTATGTTCTTATGTAGGACAATGCTCTTGGAGCATTTAGAGCACTGGATGAGGTATGGGCTACCCAATACCCCAAGAGAACCTACTTCAATACAGAAATAAAATCCCCTCTGACCACGAACCTCTAGTTGTCACCTACCACCCCACTCTGGAACCCATATGGGGTATCCTCAAACAAGTACAACCCACACTCAGTGGGGACCCCATCCTGAAATAAATTTTTCCTGATTCCCTCTTCTGGCCTTCAAACAACCTCCCAACCTCTCCAAGCTCATAATCAGAAGCAAGCTCCCCACAGACCAGGACACACCAAGTCAAAGCAGCACCAGACCCTGCCAGAACAACAGATGCAAAACCTGCAGACCATATCTCCACTGCTACAATGATCAACACCCCCCACAATACATGTTTCAAGATCAGGGCCGGCTCCAGGGTTTTTGCCGCCCCAAGCAAAAAAAGTCGCGATCAGTGACACCTCCACCTCACCGCTTTCTTCTTCGGCGGCAATTTGGCGGCAGGTCCTTCCGAGGGACTTGCCGCCGAAGAGCCCGATGTGCGGCCCCTCTCCGTTGGCCACCCCAAGCACCTGCTTGCTGAGCTGGTGCCTGGAACCGGCCCTGTTCAAGATCCATGGGTCCTGCACATGCCTATCACCACACGTGGTGTACCTCATCCAGTGCACTACATGCCCCCAATAGCAATTATGTGGGGGAAACCAAACAATTACTATGCTCTCGAATGAACTCACAGGAAAATAAGAGACAAACACCACGTCACCTGTAGATGAACACTTTTCACAAAGTGATTACTCTGTATCTGACCTTATGAGTCCTCATCCTCAAAGGAAACCTGCGCAACATTTTCAGAAGATGAACCTGGGAGGTTACTCTGCTGGACAGTACAAATCATGGACTAAACAGACACTGGATTTATGGCTTATTACAATAATCTGTAACCCATTAACAAACTCCTGCCCCCCCTCCCCCTGCCAAACTTGATCTCCCCCCCCCACCCTACTTTCCTCCCTATGACTGGAGGGATGTTAACATCACCTTGAATGGACCCTTGAAATATGTGTTAACTACTTATGTTAAACAATCTGTTCAAATCTTGTATTTAGCAGTGACATTTTGTTAGTTTCCCAGACCTGAAGGAGAGCTCTGTGTAAGCTCAAAAGCCTCTCTCTCCCCCTAACAGAAGTTGGTCCAATAAAAGAGAGAACCTCACCCACTTTGCACATATTTTTCAGTTTAGCATCCTGCATGTTGTAAGTTATGATGCCTCTTTTCAAAAGGAACTTCTGTAGATGTTTCTTACAGACTGAGATAGAGCGCACAGTGTTGAAAATCTTGTAAGACTCATGTTGTAGACGGGGAGAACATTTTGGCAGGGGACATAGGTAGGTTGAAATCTCTATTGAATTTTGGCCACTTCTAATAGCGAATCTGTCTGCTTGTTCAGTGATGTCAGCTGAAGTAGCATAGGCAACTCCTCTTCCTTTTACTTCCAACCTTGATCTGTTCAGTGGTCAGTCTGGCAGAGAAACAGCTGTTCTGTGGCCACACCACAACAATCTTTTTTATTTACACTTTAAAACCTATGTAGTTCTCGCTGTTGCGTGTGTGTGGAAATGCAGGGACGTTCTCATTACCTGGGTTAAGACAACATTCATTTGTCCCCTCTTGGTATAGTGTGGGTCAGCAGAGCCCATTTTAAACAAAAGCAAAGCTCCGTTTGTCTGTCACTAAAGACCATTTGTTATCCCAGAATTTTCAATACATATTTTAAAGGTTTCCCTCTTCAGTTAAACCAGTTCAGCAATATTTAATCCTGTAAGTGAATAATGCTGTTTTTTTTTCCTCCCCTCTCCTGCAGCCTGTCCCACGAATTATGGTTCAGTCTGCCAGCATTGATGCCAGTGCTACAAAGTTAAAACAGGTAGGCACACTACATTGTCCACAATATCTTGTGGCTGGAAACCAATGGAAACTGCAGCAGTGCTGTATGCAAAGGCTACTGCTGGCATCATTACGTCAAACCTCTTCCATTTTTATTGTTGCTTCGCTTAGACAATTAACTGTAATGTAGGTTGGAATGGTTTTTTATGTCCTGCTAAATTCTCCTCTTATATTGCTTGTTACACTTTTATATTTGAAAACCTTGCTAATCATATGATTGCATTAGCAGGTAAGTATCTAAAGTTTAGCTGCCTGCTGCTTTAAAAGGCAAATTGCTGGGCTGGAGTGCTTTCTATAAACAGAATGTATCCCTTATTCTGAACGTTTAATTTGATTCTCAGTTTTACATTTCATTCTAATTCATGATATCAACATGAAAAAGACTAGCACTAACCTGCAGAGAAAACACTCTTATGATCTCCCACAGTTCAGCAGAATTTCAATCTTATGAGTAGCAGATCAGTTTTCTCCTATTGTGCTTATATTGTCTTAACAAAATGTGTGTTAAAGCTTATGTAAAAGGGAAAACCCAAGGAAAGGACAGAGCTTCTAAATCTACAGTACAGCATCCTTCCCCATAAAAGAGCTAAAAATATATTTTAATTGACCATAACGTTTTCAGAAACTTTTCTGTAGTACATTTCACTCAGCAGTAGAAGGCTAGCCTTTGATTCTGACGCGCCAGTAATTCAATCAAATTCCGCTTTCTCTGAATGCCACTTCTGTTTCCTTTAGAACAGTCTCCTCAAGGGAGAGTGAAAGTCCCATCACTTGGGACACTTAAAACTAGATTGGGCAACGCACTAGAAAATACCTTGAAAAGAAACAAAAAGAAAAAAGGTGGGTGAGACAATGTCATAGGTCTCTAGATTATGAAAGGAATTTAAAAAAAATCTTGGCTTTCAGATTGAAAAAAATTAATTTGTTCACAGAAAGCTACTTGCTACGCTCAGTCAGCATATGGCTTATGAAATCTTTCGTTGGAACTCCCCCTTCCCCATGGCACACCTTGATGGATGATTGATGCCTATCACAACATGTGGTACACCTTATCCAGTGCACTAAATGCCCCAATAGCAACTATGTGGGTGAAACCAGACAATCGCTCTGCTCTTGAATGAACTCTCACAGGAAAATGATAAAAGGCAAAAACAACACATCACCTGTGGTGAACACTTAGATCACTCTATGTCTGACCTATCAGCCCTCATCCTGAAAGGAAACGTGCACAACACTTTCAAAAGAGGAGCTTGGGAGCTTAAATTCATTACTCTGCTAGATAGTACAAATCATGGACTGAACAGAGACACTGTATTTAGGGCTTACTAGAAAAATCTGTAATCCAGTAACCCTCTCTTTTTCTCCTATGACTGCAGAGGTATTAACGGGCCACTGTACCTTGAATAGTCCCTTACAACATGTGCTAACTACTTATGCTAAACAATGTGTGTTTCACTTTGTATTTTGCTGTGATGCTGGGAGTACCTGTCCCAGACCCGAAGAAGAGCTTTGTTGGCTCCAGAGCTTGTCTCTCCCCAACAGAAGTTGGTCTAATAAAAGATATTACATCACCCACTTTGTCTCTCTCAATCTGAAAATTCAAGGTAACTTTCCACTCCAATGGATACTAATTTAAAACTGAAAACAAAAATAAACACTGGTGAGTTAGTAAACAGAATATGTACAAGTTTGCCTTCCTCATGCTCCCCCCCCCCCCCCCCCCCCAGAAAAAGATTTAAAGACGTCCTAATCTTTTAGAGTACATTTTCTGGCAAAAGATATTGATCCATCCTATATAGTAAACTGTACAGCCAAGAGATACATCACTAAAATGGGCTGTTAATCTCGGTGGTGCAGTTAATTTCATACTCTGAAAGTATGTGGTGGTGGCAGTATTGAGAGGGGAATGGCATTTGGAAACGGGGATATAAATGACAGTTTACTTAGAAATGCCTGATTTATCAATCCTGAGTTAAGCCAAATAACTGTAAGAGACTTATAGATCATGGCTGTTTCACATTTCAAATAAATCCTGACGTTCAAAAGGCAAATGACCATTCCTGTGATATAAATAATCTTTCAGTAAATATTGGGGAACATATTTCTTTTGCTGGACACTATTTTTTTATTAATGGAAGAAATGCACTGATAATCCCACCAGGTTTGTAAAGATGGCTATAAATCAACAAGCACCAGTCCAGCTCTGCAAATGTGCAGGGATTTGGATAAACCGGAGGTTTAGATAGTTCCAGAAGGCCATATGTCAGCATTATCATTCCAGATGTTTTGAATACCATAATCCCATACTTGTCATCTTTTCAGATTAACCAGGAAGGGGGGAAAGAACCATTTGAAATGGCCAGGCAAGCTACAGAGGCAGAAAAGAACCAAGAAAAGACGCCCAAAGTGCCTTCACAGCCACACACTGCAGATATTCAGGCACAGGACTCCCAAGAGGGCCCTCCAAGTCCCCTGAGTGAAGCCTCAAGTGGTTACTTTTCTCACAGTGTTTCAACAGCGACTCTGTCTGAAGCACTCACTGCATGGAACGAAGCGATTGTTCAGACAGGTGGTCAAACGTCTGCAGTGAGCAACATCTCCCCACCCACCCCAGCTGTTCAGGTAACTTCTGCTACTGACATTTCAATGCAGACAGAGTGCGCTTCAGAGGGCTACCCTGCTGTTAAAAGAGATAATCAAGCTGCTTCTGACCTCAGCACTGCCCATGTGAGACCTAAGGACAGCAGCGACGTGAATGGTAATGAGCATCTAAAGTCCAAGTCCTTTGTCTCCCCTGTGACTCAGAGTGAAGAACTAGATGTTGCCTCTATAGCCATTGATGCGAAAAGCTACGTTTCTACCTCCATCCCAAAGAAGGAGCTGCTGACCAAACAGCTAATGGCTTCAACAACTGGAGAGTCAGTGGGACAAGCTGCCAGGAAAAAGGACCACACAAAGCCCGCCTCTACTTCAGAATCGAGAGCTTCCAAACCACAGCTTCAGCCTGACCTCTTGTCCCAGCCCAGCGCTACAGCCTCTCCTTTCAAAATCCAAAAAGTCAGGACATCTGAGCTCAAATCTTTTACATGCATGCTGGGGGGAGATTCTGGGTGCTCTTCAAGCCCAGAGGAAGAGGAGAGAGAAAAGAACCGGGTGACTGCACAAGGGTTGAGCCATAATGGTGCGGAGACAGCTGATGAAAAACTGGAAGCGGCTTCTGATTCTGAAGATGCCAATGAAATCCCGGAATGGCTAAAAGAGGGAGAATATGTCACTGTTGGCACAAATAAGACAGGCACAATTAGATATGTTGGCCCAACTGACTTTCAAGAGGGAACATGGGTTGGTGTGGAACTCGATTTGCCTTCAGGTAAGATATGCTCTGTGGCAGGTTGCAATGTGATAAATACTAAACAGCTCTGGATATCCATTCATAACAGGCAGATTACATACGACACCTGGGAGGACTCATGATCGGGGGAAATGTTTTAGGCTATGTAGATTAGATATTCAAGAAAAAAAAAATCTCACCTTGATTACTGGAATCTCCCTCAGTCTGTCTCTAACATGTGTCTGCCCAGAGTGCCCCTGCCAATGTAGACTGTCTCTGATCTCACCGCATAGCCCCCTCTCCTCAATAATTTATTGGTTTCTTGTGTCCTGATGAATCATTCAAACTGCTAATCCTCACCTTCCTCTGGAAAGCCCAATACTAACAATCTACAAGTATATACATGTATAAGCCTCAAGGAAAGAGGAATTTTCTAGGGAGGACCAGAGTGGGTGCAACAGGAGTCATGGAATGCAAATGAGGAAAGGAAAATTTGGACTAAATAGAAGTCGAGATGTACATTAAACTGTTGGATGATATCTCCCAAGCTGTTTAAAACTGGACCGCAAAAGCACACAAGATATATATGTATGTATGTGTGTGTGTGTGTGTGTGTGTGTGTGTGTGTGTATGTCTGTATATATATATATATATATATATATATTATGTATATATATATATATTATGTATATAAAATCATAAACATGGAGTAATCATGCACCGAGCACCAGGGAATAGACTCGATCATTTAATGGGGGAAGAGGAGAGGTGTTCAATTTCCAATCTGAAAAGTGCCGATCAGTCAGGAGTAGCAATGTCAGACCTCCTCCAAAGATGCTGCTGGTGATGCAAGCTTCCCTGTGAAGAGGAAAAGATGCTGCTCCTGCTCGAGGCCTGTTAATATGTGTAGGTCTCAAGCAGTTCTCAGTGTGTTGAGGATGTGGAACAGAGAAATGGTGGCCCCAGCATGAGTGGTCTGAAAAAAATGAGATAAAGGTACAAAATAGGGGATTGGCGGGCAGAACGTTCTATGCTAAGGCCCCAAACCTTTAGAATTTGCTTCCTCCTCAGCTCCATAACAGCCCAAGTTTATTAGCCTTCAAGGTGCACCTTTTTTCCTTTGCCCAAGAGGAGATGGATGTTGACTAGGGTGAATGATGCTGATCTAGTCTATCTAGGTATTAAAAGGGGTCAATATTTATTGTCATTGGGTTAACTTGATCTGGGAGAATTGACAACCGTGTTTGTTTAGTCTAATTTTTTAACATTTACTAAGGGCACCGCATGGGTGCTCTTTTTATAGATTGTAAACATACAAATAAACGTGTAGAATTGGTGTTACCAGTAGGCCACCTCCACCTCTGTCCTATTTGATCTCTCCTTGAAAATTGCACACTTTCATCTTTTGCCAGTCATGGGAATAGTGGACCCTCACCATGCCTTTGTCCACGAAGAGTGGAGTATCTAGGTTCCAGAACTTTACCCTCCATGTGGTTGCCTTGGTGCCTTTCTCCTATGAGACTAGACTGGGTGACGCTGCCCTCTCTCATCTCACAAGACACACAGCAGGTCTTTCAATAAAACAATGCTTATTAAAAAGAAGAGGATTCCAAATAAAATATTTGTCTCAACATACCTGGATTTATGCTTGGTAAAAACTAAACTAGATACAGCGTTCTCAGCTTAAGTTTTACAGAAAAGGCACCCACAGCTTACATGTCCCAAAGAGCAATCTGTGGTTCTGACTTCTGTCAAAGTTCCAGCCCCAACTCTCAGTTATAACAGTCCATGTGCCCCCGTTTATAAGCCTCTTTTTTCCAGCTTCAATACCACATGCTAGGGAGTTAACGTGTTTCCCCTGCTCCCAATCAGTCTCTCATCTTCTTGAAGCTCTTGTACATTACTTCACACATGGCTGATGATTGTCTGCCGGACTGTCAGGGGAAAAGATTGTTTTGATTGCCCTATCCCCTATATGTGGGGGAAATTTCATCTCATGTCTCCCATCTGTTGGAGTATAGTTTATTTCTAAAGTAAATTCTCCTCTCTGTTATAAAATTTAATTTAAGAAATAGGAACAGAGGTTCATATCTTGTCACAGTAAACTGTGGATTGAGCAGAATGCACCTCATGGGATTTCAGCACCCACCGTACGTACCCACCAGTGGCCAAGTGATCTGGCACTAGAGTGCTTAGGATGAGGGGAAACTGTCAAGACAAAAGGGTGAAGCATGTGCTATGTAAGGATGCTTCTGATGATCCATGATAGTTCTTGGCAAATGGAACCTCTTGGTTTACAAAGATAATAGCGATCGTCCAGGTTTCTGGAACAGAGCATTTTGGAGCTGCTTTGCAATGCCCTGTGTAGTGGACAGATTGAAATGGAGAGGGTGGATATGGTACTAGCAATAATAAAATCAAATAGCCTGATGTTTAGAGGTGCTAAGGTATGGTACCTACAGCTTCCTTTGACTTCTGTCTATCATGGAGTCTGAAAATCAGGCCACAATATATACGTTTTTTCCCTCCTCCCAGATGTTTTATTTGCCTCTGGATTATGCTTGTGTTGCTGCACAGAATATTTAAAACATCTGGGCTAAGTTTAAAGAATTCCTTTCAATAGATGGTGGAAGGTAGAAAAAGGCTAATGGGTCCATTCAGTTCCATACTGATTATCTCCAGTAAATTGCCACCCGGCATTCATTTCTACCTGATTTCAGGAGTTTAGTGTGTTGGCTCATAACTCAGTTTTATTGGGTGTGCCATGGACTGAAGGTCAATTTATGGAATCCTTTCTGATCACTGCTATAATGACATACAGATGACTCCAGTGATTCTCTAAAATGAGGGGTAGTCATAAGTAAATATGTGCACAAGGGCGAAATTCCTTTTGTAGCATCTTTCTTTTTCTTGTTAAAGGTAAGAATGATGGCTCCATTGGAGGAAGGCAGTACTTCAAATGCAACCCAGGCTATGGGCTCCTCGTGAAACCAAACAGAGTGGGAAAAGCCACCGGAGCAGCAAGACGGCGGAGTGCTGGGCTTAGGTTGCAAGGGGGAGCTACGCCCGAGAACCGGAAAAGCAACAATTTCTCAGGCTCAGCCTCCAGCCTGACATCACTGACAGCCCTAGCCAAAATGGAAGGATCTGCTCTCCAACCCGAGAAGATCCAGAAGAATGCAGAGAACAGGAAATCTTGGGCTAACTGAAAGAGGCTTACAGGCCCCACAAGCTGGTTCGAAAATAGCTTGTGAAGCTGTCACCGAAGTGGATGTGCTTGCAACGTTAAACCAACCTGGTAAACTTAGCTCTGGCAAACACTAAAGAAGGGGTTTTTCTCTACTTTTGTTGCTGATGTGTTATATCTTTGCCTTGTCATGGTGATGGATCTGTGTGTTTAGGCTCCTGACGCAAATTGGGACACTTCATTGTGTGGCTTATTTCAAATAGTGAAGGTTGTGGGAGGGGGTTTAATGGTGCTGTTTTTAAGTCATTCACAGAATGAACAGCCAGATCAGTGATTCAAAGTATTGTATGAGTTTCCAGCAGCTGCGAAAAATTAACTGGAGTGATTTCCCAACCCACAACATCTATACTTCCTTAAACATGGTTGGCAGTTCTGTAAACATCAAAATACAGCATGCAAGGCTCCATCCTTTTGGAAAAGCTGTGTCTGTATCAGGCAATAATGAGAAACGGATACAGTTATAAAGAAAGAAGTTATATTGCGAAGGAAACAGAACAAAAATAATCAACTTGGTTACATGACCTGGAACCAGTGCCTATCTTGAATAATGTTCGTGTCTTTCTACTCTTATTGAAATCAATGGGATTCTACCCTATCAGTGGCTTTTGATCCCTGTTTTTTAAAGGCATATTCAAATTTAGTTAACCCACTAAATAGATTTTAGTTATTATTTTAACAGGACATAGAATCTGTTCACCTTCCTTTCCTCCCTGGACACACTGTGGAATATTGCTCTAGTTGTTTCTTTAGTTTGTCTTCAGGATTTTTGCAAAGATATCAGCGTTCTCTAAAGTGCTACAGTATTTATAACAGCTTTTTCCAGTTCTGTCTGTACTGCCTGTTGGTGACGTACTCACAAAGAAAGATGTGGGCACCATGCACAACCTTCACTGGCATTTGCATTTTACCAGATTTTGTAAAGTGAAGGCTTGTTGTTCCCCTACTGAATGATCCAGTTGTATTTATTTTTATTTATTGTTTTAAAAAATATGAAATACTTGCGCTTCACAATCGCCCACTGCCTGCCATTGCACATAGGCGCTCTATTTAGCGTCATACTGAATAGCCTCCCTTTTGGAAAGGCTCCTGCCTAGCCAGCAAAACCCTCTTGAGATTGCTCCTAAAATCACTTTATTGGAATGGTTGCACATTCTTCCTCAAAACTAACATTTTTCTGGAGGGTGGGAGAACTGGGCTGGCTTTTGTTGTTTTTAAACTTGATTTTATCTTTGGTGACCTTCACTAGTTTTTAATTTCCTGTGGCATATATAGATATTTTCTAACAAATTACGTAAAGAAAAAAATAAGACTTAATTGTACAGTATATACAGAGCTTCTTATACTTTGTTTAGTAAACATTGAGGGACTAGAAATTTTGAGCAATAGATGTTTATAATCTATGTGAGGAACATTCAGGATGCTAAATTAATGGTTAAAACTTAATATGTATCCAGCCTCTCTCATGCTGCACAGATGTGTCTAAGTGCCTTAGCCATCTGGTTCAGGTATCCAAGGGAAACATACATTGTCATCAAAGTAAACTTTAAAGGAGGTAGGGACGCTTAGTGCAGGAGATAATTATGCTGATTGACTGTAATTAATATCAATTTATGCAGAAGGAATAAAAATTAAAATAGAAACTAATCAGTAGTTGGAATAAAATTTGGAATGGGTCAGAATACAGCATTCTAAATGCTGCCAAGCATTAGTACATTCCTATCAGCATTGTATAGTTCTGCTCTTTTCTAAGTTTTCGTAAAGGAATTTAAATGTACAGGCAGATTTTTAAGATTTTCATAAATGTACAATTTTTTTCTTCCCCTGCACAAAGCTACAACATGGGTTGTCAGAGAGGGGTTTGCCACCCACTAGACTAGTGTTGGAAAGCTTTTTATATTTCTCTCCTTTCAAGCCTGAAAACATGGGGAAATTAGCAACAAAGACTGGAGAAGCTAAATCCTGAATTTAATTTTAGGAATAACTGTTTTTCAAAAACACGTGACCTGCAACAATAACATAATTTATTTTATTAATCAGTTTTATAATACTCTGCAATGAGATAGTACGCTCTAACCAATGTAACTTCTCATAATACTGCCTGGCATTATAAAACTCTCTCAAATCATTTTTTCCAAATGAGCTTCACTTTTATTCTTCCAATATGGGTACAGATGGCTGGCTACTGTGAAGCATCTTCTTGATTTAGCTTTTATTAATCTCATCATTTCATTTATTGAATTTGGGAAAATCCTAACTTGTCCTTTTTATTGGTCCCTTATTTGGAGCATACAGTGTTGTGAATGGTAGAGCCATGTTTTCTATTAACCCTCTATTAATTCCCTTTTCTCTTGCCCCATCATATATTACCGACAGGGTCTGTCTCTGTGAAGATTTTATATGTTAAATGATTGATCTTCATAGATTTGATCCAGTGCTTTCACTAGTATTTGGGGACCAAGCAAAGGGAAGCTGGGTGAATATTTCATTATTTATTTTACCTAGTATGCATTCCTTTTTGGCCACGTTCACATTGTGTTTCTGATTGTGTAAACACTTTAGCTTGTGAGTGACATTACTGAAGTGTTTGAAGGATCAAGATTTAGGGTAGAAACTCTGCCACCCACTAGAGCTTTGGCCTGGTAACCCTAACCTGTATGAACGGGATATTTTTCCTAATCGTGTTACAAAACTATGCTACAAAATATCAGTAGGGTTATACAATAGCAGAAATTGTGCTAGTACAGTGTGCTTTAAACATAGTTGTTGCTAGCATATATTCAGCCTACTTTGGACAAGGCCTTTCACCAGTTTTAGGAATGCCCAGAGAGCTCTCCTCAGCAGTTCATCTTGAATAAGGAAGCTGTGTTTTAGTGACAGAACTCTCAGACTTCAGTAGATGGTTAGGATGAAATTCTGGCTCCATTGAAGTCAATAGTCTAACATCCATTGACTTCAGTGGACCCAGGATTTCACCCATTGATTTTTTTGTATATAGATAGATATAGATCTATCTTCATCACACTGATGTTTGAATTGTTCAATTCCACTCCAGTCCCTGCCCCCAAAAAATTTAATCCAGGTGAGCTTTTTCCTACCCAGATCATTTCCATCTTACAACTGCTGGTTATAAACTCTTGTAAAAAAAAAAAAATCAAGGAGAGGATCTTACCAGAAGCTCTCAAACTCCATTATCCTCCTCCTGTTGACATTCCTCAAGCAGACTTTGTCCCAATGTTAGTTCCTAAATCTCATTATAGTGAATACAGTTTTTTACTCAAAGGAGTTTGAGGTCAGTGCTCTGTCCACCCTCACGTTGGCCAAGCATACCCTAAAAAAAATCACGAAAGCAATAAAAAAAACGTATTAAATTGTGCTGGAACAGTTCGTAGTTGAGGCTGGTTGCATTAAATAACTTTATGCACATTTTTTGCAAGACTTTCATGCACTTTACACAGGAAAAAAGGTATGGCTCCTGCATTAAACATCTGTAGCAAATATTTGCTGTAATGTATCTGCTACATTTTTAAGTCCAATAGGTCTGTTTTGAATGATTCTGGGTTTCTAGAAATCGTAAAGCATATTTAAGATTTCAAAGAGAATAGAAAATGTAATGGTCTAAATGTGTGGTAACCACTAGATAAATCCTTTTATTTGCACATGGTACAATGTTTTATGCGGTTGAAATGTGTTGTTTTTGTCCCCGTTCAGCCATAAGAATCCTTGTGTTTTTTAAAACAAAGCCAAGACTTTCTACTATGTTATTTAGAAGATATCAGAGCTCAGCTGTCCCATGGTGTCTTGACCTTTTCCTTGTTGACATATCACCTTTGGCTTCTTGAGCGCCTTGATTCACACTAATTGTAATACATGTTCTGTTAGTGGGAAAGTGAATGAAGATAAGTTTGTGTTCAGGTAGTGTAGCCACAGAGTCCTTAAGAGCAGGTAGAATTTGTCAGTGACTCAGGAGTGGGTTGAATCCCATTCTATACCTGCTGCTCATCAGGAAACAAATGCACTCAGTCGCTGACTTTAAAATGTTCAACACCTTTTTCTTTTGTGTTCTGTATGAATCAAGAAACCAGCTTGGGTTATTACATATCAGACAGGCAAATTTATATGAAATAAAAACTTTGTGTGATGGGTTCATTGGGGGCTGGGAAAAGCTTCCATGGGATCTTGTGTTGCCGTTACACTGGTACTGTTAGTTCTTTGCACAAAATATATATTTAAACAGTGCCTTATCTTTGCGACAGACTTTACCCAATCCAGTGGGGGGGACTAGTTTTATACTAGCCTGAAGCATTTGTGTGTAGCTTTTCAGTAATTTAAAATGACAGTTTAAAGTAAATGTGTAGGTGATTCACACTATAGGATGCAAACGGCTTGATCAGCTGTGATTACAAACAACGAGTGTCTTGCTCCAGTCTGTTTTTTCCTTATTCATCTTTTTGTTCTCTAAACTTCCGCTCCTACTACATGCATTTGGTTCTGCTGTCCACCTTGCTCAAACCCACACACCCCACCAAAGAAAACCTCAGATATGATTAATGACTGACTAAATACAAGCTGATTGGAGCCAGTGACACACATACAACTTCCTTCTGTGCTTTGGGGGTGACTTTGAAGCTAGCAGCTACCCACTCCTAATTTCTCACTTGTAGAGTCACTGAGTCTGAGTCTAGCAGCTGCTACCTGTTCAGACCACAAAATCATTGAGAGGTTCTGATTTGAGTCTGGTGCTGGATCATCCAACGCTGCGTGCCAGTTGGGTCTCTGACATCACAGCCATGCACCAACTTCCACTGGTGCGTAGCTGAGACCTCCTCTCTAAGGCCATGTCTATACTAGGAACACTTTGCCTGAATAAGTATACTGGTCTGCTGTCTTGGCAAAGTGCTCCTAGCGTGGACAAAGCTTATACTGGCAAAACTACATGTCTGCTCTCCCTGAGCAGAACAAGCTATACTAGCATGAGCACAGAATTGGCAGTGTAACTGCATCTATACTAAGGGCTTTTGCCAACACAGCTATGTTGATCGAAGGTCAACATAACTAGACTTCTGCTATTGTAGCCGTCACTTAAGAGTACTCCCTGCACCCATCATGTTAAACAGATGAAGAAAATATACTGGGGTAAACTGGATCACTGAGACAGGTAAGGGGGAGAGGGAGTTGAAGCACCTGTGGGAAGTGAAAAGAGATTGGGATGTTGGAGGAGGTGTGTTAAGTGTAAGGGTATGTCTACGCTACCCGCCAGATCGGCCGGCAGCGATCGATCCAGCGGGGGTTGATTTATTGCGTCTAGTCTAGACGCGATAAATCGACCCCCAAGCACTCTCCCATTGACTCCTGTACTCCACCGCCGCGAGTGGCACCGGCAGAGTTGACGGGGGAGCGGCAGCAGTCAACTCACCAAGGTGAAGACACCGCGGTGAGTAGATCTAAGTACGTCGACTTCAGCTACATTATTCGCGTAACTTAGATCTATTCTTTCTCTCCCCCCCCCCCCTCCAGTGTAGACGAAGCCTAAGCCACTCACTTCCTTTCCTCCTTCTCCCACAAGTGCCAAGCTGCTCTTTCAGCCTCTAGGCCTTGTGACTAAAGTTGCTGTCAACTCCCATCCTATTCTGGCTTAAGACTCCATTGGTACCTGTTTAAATATTCCAAATCTAGCTCTTATAATGAAGTGGATGAAAGTGGCTGTTGGGCCACAAACTGCTGAAAGGGCAGGGATGGAGAGGGCTCCCCATGACGAGGGGAAACCTGGAAAAAATACTATAAATATCCAAATAGTAGGGAAAGTTCATTTTACAGCCATTTCCCCACTATTTTCTCTTATCCTTTGATTGGTGGCTTTTTTTTCCTTAATAGAATACATTGTATGACACCCCTTCCCACTGCTGACTTTTAAGGAGTTAATACATGCATCTTACTCTCAGCAATAACGGTTAGGTTATGAATTAGTGGGCTACTGCTACACTTCAAGGGTGGCTGACGACCTTCTGTCTTCAGTATGGTTTCAGTCCTGTCCTTCCAACACACCCAAGGCATGTGCCAGTAGCTGACTAATGTAAACCATGGTGTGGCTTGTTACAGTCAAAGTACCTTTTGCTTTATTATCAACACTAACCTTTGAAATGTCTTGGGAGAGCCTTTTGAAATTTGTCTTTGTTGATTTTTGTAAATGCAGTGTGTCTGTATATAAAGAGTGGCTATTTAGACTGTGGATTAAGTGTTGATCGATATACTTTAAATGAGCTGAAATCCAAAGATACTTTGTAATGAACTGTAAAGTTTTTAATTTTGTTGTATAATACTAAATGACTGTAATGTTGTATCATACATGCAATGCGACCTGCAGTATCTAAATAAACACCTTCTCTAGAGATGAGAAGTCTCTGCTGTTTTTTTGGAAGTACCATCAAAGAGTTTGAAAGCCACAAATCTAGAATTTATTTAGCTATTTAGATTTATACACATCAATTAAAAAGGAGAACACCTATTCCTTCCTCTAGGTGCATCTTTGAACTTCTTATGGCTACATATTTTAGACTTGCCAAGATATCAGCTATTTTCAGACCACCTTATAAATGTTAAACCTTGCAAAACCTAATGAGAGTATAAGGTCCATTTTACAGATGGGAAAACTGAGACACCGAAAGCCTGATTCTGCAAAGCTGATGTTTTAAGTGCTTTCCTGAATTGGGCCATTAAGTGACCTACGTAAGTTAACAGAGCAAGTGAATGAACAAAGATGAGATGAACTGTCAAAATGTCAGCTCTCACCCATGATGCCAGCCTCCATCACCACTTGTTAAATTTTCAAACAACCACCTTCGTGCTTGGGAGAACTCCCAGTAAACATCCACAAAGCTACCTCTTTGTCCTTCTTCAATTCCCACCTTAAAACTCTCCTTTGCCATGATGCCTACAAAAAGCTTGACAGACGTTAAGCTGCTGGTGTGCTGATAGGCAGTGATCTATCATGCTCACCAGTAATGTTTCCTTGAACTCCCCTGTCTCTGTCTCCATCTACTGTCTTATACTTAGATTGTGAACTCTTTGGAGCAGGAACTGTCTTTGTTCTGTGTTTGTAGACAATGGTGTCCTGGCCCATGAGTAGGGCTCTTAGGTGCTATTGCAATACAAATAATGGAACCCAGAAATTATCACTCCAAGTCCCCCGGATTTAACCCCTAGACACGGGGCTTAATCCACAAAGAGATTTAGGCACCTAACTGCCACTTTAGATGCTTAAATGCAACATTTAGGCACTACTGAGATCCTCAAAAACCCCACTCAGCCACTGCCTAACCTGGTAGGCAACTAAAATCCTAAGCCACCTAAGTGTGGGTGGACATGTGCAAAAAGTGCCTACGTCTTGATGCTGCTAAGCTGCATGTTTAGCTTGCCTAAGCCATGGCAGGATTCTCAAATTAGGCATCCCTTGCCTATCCGACCTATGGGCCCCAGCAGGAGCAGGCCGTGTACAAAAGACAGCTGGGGGCAATCAGATCGGCATAATTGGGCATGGGGGGCAATCAGACTATCCCATGGCTGAGGGGTTAGGGCCTCACTTGGGAGATGGGAGACCCGGGTTCAAGTCCCTGCTCCAAATCAGGCACAGGGGGGATTTGAAAACAGGTCTCCTAAGTTCATAGATTCCAAGGCCAAAAGGGACCCCAGTGATTATCCAGTCTGACCTCCTGTATGGCATGGGCCATGCTGCCATAACTGCTGGGATATTGGCTATAATGGGGTGGGCATCTCTGCTTTTTCTTGAGAAAGGGCCGACCTGGTTTAGGCGCCTAACTCCAAGAGAGAGTTCATGGTTGAGAATCCCAAGGAGCGACAGGCACCTCCCTCTGGCCCAGAGTTGTTAGCTGCATAAGCCACACCCCTCTCCTCCGCATTTCTTACTGGCTAGGCCAGTAGCTCTCAACCAGGGGGTACATCAAGTCATTAGATATTTGCCTGGTTTTACAACCGGCTACATAAAAAGCACTAGCGAAGTCAGTACAAACTAAAATGTCATACAGCCAATGACTTGCTTATACTGCTCTATATACTCTACACCGAAGTGAAAGGACAATATTTTTATTCCAATTGATTTATTTTATAATTACATGGTAACAATTAAAAAGTCAGCAA